GTAAGTTAGCATTATATTTACGAAGGTTAATAAACAAACGCCAACTGTATCAATCCAGATCATTTGCACTGATGCAGTTATATGAAATAGTAGCAAATGAGCCTGTCCCTGGGCAAACAATTTGGATGATTTGGTAAATATTGTATGTTTGGAAATTAAGTTATTACTATCAAAAAGAAAAATTGCATCCAAAATAGTACAGTAGAAGCCATTCCTTAGGTTAAGCCTTAATCCTCTCCCTCTCCCCACGGGGTGGGGGAATTTCAAAAAATCCCTTCTTTATGTGCATTTTCATGATGTACCCTAACTGTGTATCAAATTTTACCTCTAGGTTCAACAGTTTTCTCTGGGTGATGATGAATCAGTCAGTCAGGACATTTTTATATACAGGTATACCTCAAGGTCGTTTTGAGTTACGTTGTTCCCGATAATATGTCGTTTGTCAAAAAGTATATGGAAAAATAAAAATCAAGTTTGTCATTTTATTCGACTTTACGTCTGTCCGCCACAANAAATTATTCATTATTTTATAATATAAAATTGTGCTTTGTGTTCAAAAAAGTTTAACTTGACTACAGCCGTATCTAATAACAAAATAATAATGTGAATTCATACTGTTTATAATTAGTCTTACATCTGTATACATTATGGAGTAGTGTTGTGTTGTCAACATTGACATCATTATTTTTTATTTTAAATTTTATTACTGTTAGTCATTGATAGAGTACGATAATTAGAAATTAACATCATTGGGTTTACATGAAACATTAAGTTTCTTCTTTTAATATGCTAACTGCATAATTAAAATATATATATATAAGATTATTTATTATATTTGAAGAATATTGCATGAGGAATAAATAAATTAATAATAATTATTAACATTTAAGCTTCAAATCTTGATTCAGATAAAAAGAAAAAGTATAAAAGTGTATGTAGTGATTAAAAATTAAACTTGCATTTTTTTTAAATTTGATTTTGTGTAAGCATTTTGGAATCAATTTTAGATGTATTGCATGCCTCTTATAGTAGAATATACTATTAGATGTGTGCAATATAATTAATTGTAAGTTAGCATTATATTTACGAAGGTTAATAAACAAACGCCAACTGTATCAATCCAGATCATTTGCACTGATGCAGTTATATGAAATAGTAGCAAATGAGCCTGTCCCTGGGCAAACAATTTGGATGATTTGGTAAATATTGTATGTTTGGAAATTAAGTTATTACTATCAAAAAGAAAAATTGCATCCAAAATAGTACAGTAGAAGCCATTCCTTAGGTTAAGCCTTAATCTTCTCCCTCTCCCCACGGGGTGGGGGAATTTCAAAAAATCCCTTCTTTATGTGCATTTTCATGATGTACCCTAACTGTGTATCAAATTTTACCTCTAGGTTCAACAGTTTTCTCTGGGTGATGATGAATCAGTCAGTCAGGACATTTTTATATACAGGTATACCTCAAGGTCGTTTTGAGTTACGTTGTTCCCGATAATATGTCGTTTGTCAAAAAGTATATGGAAAAATAAAAATCAAGTTTGTCATTTTATTCGACTTTACGTCTGTCCGCCACAAATATTGAAGTCGTAATATCACTAGAAAAGCGTTTAAAGCACATAAAATCATATTAAAATATATACATTTACAAGTATGTATGTATATATAGTACATGCATTTGTAAATTTAGATTACTTTTTTCTGTACTATATTAAAAACTAAAATTTATTTGTTTGTAAGCTTAAAATAGATCCTTATTAACCATATATTATTAAAAATGCATTAATAAATAAAATACAGAACCAGGAATGGTAATTTATGATTTAACCTAGTGACAAGTAGATTTGGAGACAAGTAAATTCTCCTCTCCTGGAACCAATTACCGACGTAAGGCGAGGTATACCTGTATATAGAATAGATAAAAAATTATTAACTTGTTCAAGGATGGATTTTTAAATGCAGATGAATAATAATGAAAAATAATACGATGATATAATAATATGATTTTAAACTTTTCATGACGTTTAATAGTTTTAGCATGATGAAAGTGAATGAACAGTTAAATTATTCAGGATTAATATCATTTACTTTTTAAGTTTAGTAGATCTTTCTTAACACTTTATTACTAGGCTAAAATTTTGATAAATAGTTTATGGCAAATTTTTGTACTTATGCAATATACGTGAATGTGAGTTTTATACCAGTAGTTCTGACAAATGTGTGTTTAAGTCAGAATAAAGATTTATGGTTACAATAATCATTTATTGCAGATTTCTGAAACATTCATACAATATTATTTGTCAGTTATATTTCTTATCAGCTTTGTAAGTTTGCAAATTTGACTACTAATATAAGAAGTAAGAATGAATTTTGATTTTTCTATTATGATGAAGCAAAATTTGTTTTACTTTAAAGTAATATTTAATAATGATTTTCTTAAAGTTAGGAGAAAATAAATCATTATCTTTATTAATTTTTAATTGAAAGTTTTGTGATCTTGAAAAATTTTAATAAATTAAGATTAACATGAATACATTATATTATATTCAAATTGCAGAAAGTTGATCTCGATAGCAAACTTGATTGTTGTTAACTACATAAAATTTAAAATAGCTTGAATGAAAAACATTTTAAATTTCCTATATTATAATAATAGTACAATAATACAATAATATATATTATCAGTGGGACATTCAAGATTTAATCTTTGGGGGGCCAAGTTGAATGGACAAAAAATTTTTAATGTGAATTCAATAAAATTCCTATCATATTTAACCGCTAATTTATATGTAGTATAGAAATAAGACACAACGCAATATAAATAAAAAAGTGAATTTAATTATGAAAACAATTTTTGGAAAATTTTCTATTTTATTTTATTTTCCCTTTTTATTTGGAGGTATCAAAGGCTCCTTCGCCTCCTCTGGGTGCACCACTGTATGCTGTGTATTATGATATGTCTTTATAAAGTCTTTATAAACAAACATAGGAATTGTTCTGTAGAAATTGTTTATTCAAATGTATCAGTGTATACCATTCACCATACAAAATATTAAAATCTCAGCATGAAATTAATGTTATAAGTTTTAGTATTTGTTGGATTCTCCTGCTGATATCTTGACTGATCTCACCAAGTTTATTTCACCTTCAAAGTAATAATGATTTTAATCTGTTTATTTAATTGATGTTTATACTTCAGCTTTATGAACACAGATATTCTATGACTATAGTCTTTGAATTTATCAAACTTTTACATGTAAACTATATTTAAGGCTTTATCAGTTTAATTCAAAAGAATTCAATTTTATTCTTTTTATCTAATATTTCAAAACGTTTAAAATATAAACAAAATTATGTACAAAAAGTATTTTAAATTTTGCTAAAACAATATACTTACATAAATGTAAAAATAATGTTTTATTAATAGTGTTTGTAGAAATAAGAAATTTATTTAAAACGTAACCTAAATTCTAATGATTGCAACAATGGAATGTTGTAGGGATTGTGTGAAACTGAGTCAAGAAGAAAAAAAATTGTTGTTGTTTGGAGAAAATGAAATTTTAGCTTTCTGTTTGATGATTCAAATCTTCATTTATATTTAACTATCATGGTAGTAAGACATAGATTATTTATTACTTTTACACTTTCTTATTATAGAAAAACTTTAGAAAATAAAATATCTATTTAATATAATATTATTGTTTTTAAAGCAATTTTAAATAACCAAGCTTTTTGTCTGGAATTTATAAAAATTCTGATTTAATGACAGTCTAGAATTGGCAATGAATTTACTAATAAGTATACAAGATAAGTTTTTAATAATATATGTATTAATTTCTGTATATAGATCAATAGAACTAGTGTTATATTTCAAAATATTTTTTTTTACATGATTCAGATTTTAGTAAACTTTGTGTTTTTTTAATCTCATTTATCTTCAGTATGGTTATTACTTTTTTGAAAATCCATCTAATTTCAATGAGCTTCAAGCACTCTCGTATTTTTCATATTTGATCTTTTATGTCAAATTCTTTATTTATATTATTCCCATTTTTAAAGGCATTGTTTTTATTTTTTTTAATATTGTTTACCCATACAGTTAACATCTGTTTATATTATTGTCCTAAAATTTCTTATTTGTTCTGATGATAAAAAATGTTTGTTCCCAATTTTGTTTGTCTTATAGTTTAAGTACAAAACAATATTTTTTGTTGTAAATAGCAATAAATCATTAAGAGATACTGGCTGCTTGAACACAATATAAATTTTAATTTTTTAGCTCTTTTTTTTTGTTATTTAATTGGACTTATGGCACCATGATTTTTGAAGAACCTTTATTTAGTTTTTTCTTCCTTTTATTTTTTTTATTAGACTCAAAATCTCCAAGGTAAAGATAAACAATACAAATTCTTTTTGTTCAATTAGTTTTTTTTTTTGTTTTGTTAGTTATGGCAACTCAAAACTTGGGTGATCTGTCTGGGAGGATGCTTTCCAGGAGATCTTTTAGGGGTAACTTGCCCCTATTTAGAAAGCTGGAAAACACCACATGGCCAGCCAATCCTGGAGAGGCATGAACCCACGACCAAACTACCAATGTTTGGGGACTAGAACCACTTGGCTACAGGTGGACCCTTGTTTAGTCAGAAAATATAGAGTTCTCTTCTTGTACAAGGTCTTTCAGAATTTGCTATATGTTATTTTCTATTATTATTTCATCAAAACTTGGGGTTTGATTCATTTATTTATTTTTTATTCTAAATTTTCTCCAATTTTTCTGTTTCAATAATCACTTGATCCTTTTTGACGACTTACTGTATGTATATTGTCTTATATTGTCTAGCTGCTGTTTCTTCCTATGCTTGGACATTTAATAATTTTGCAACATAATAGTAAACAAGTAAAAAATTGCAAAATCGGTCTTTATTAAAATTTATATACTGGTTCAGTATCAGTTTTATATTTTTAATATAAAAATTTATTAATTTATCATATTTTATACTTTCAGTTCTCTGTACTTATCAACATCTTGTGGATTCTCAAGTTATAAGGGAGACCAAAAAGTTGGTATTTTGTTTTTGTGTTTATAAATTTTGAATAATAAATATTTATTTCTAAAAGTAAGAAAGAAATTAAGTGAATTATTTATTAATTGGCTTAAATATTTATTCAGACCAGAGAAAACTGTCATTACATTATCTAAAGAAGATAACAGTATTGAAAGAAAATTGAAGGAACTTGAAAGTCGTGTGAATAAACTTGAAGAAACTGCTGCTAAATCATATCCAAAAGTTAAAACAAGAACCTATAAAGACAGGAAAAGGATTTTGGTAAATTAAAAATATTTTCACAATATGTAATGTTAAGAGATTTAATTACTGATTTATGTAGGACACAATATTTACTAGTGTAATATTACAAATGCTGAAAAATCTGAGAAAATATTAATTGTTAGTACTTGATTGCTTGCTGTTCTCTCTTTTGGTTGTATGTTCCAAATGTACAAATTTGTGCTTAATTCCAAAGAACATATTAAATATTACTTTATTATTTGGATTCTTCTGCATTTTGTGTTCTTGTAAGATTTTTTTTTTACATTAATTTCAATAATAATAATTACTATTATTTTTTGATAAGGTGACTGGTGGAGCTGGTTTTGTTGGAAGTCATCTTGTTGATAAACTAATGTTTGATGGACATGAAGTTACAGTTGTAGATAATTTTTTCACTGGAAGCAAGAAAAATATTGAACATTGGATAGGGCATGATAATTTTGATGTCATAAGACATGATATTGTGAATCCTTTGTATATGGAAGGTTGATTTTATATTTAATATAACTAAAAGCAATTTTGCTTTTGTTAAAACTAAACTTTATATTAAATTTCTTTTAGTGGATCAAATATATCATCTTGCATCTCCAGCTTCACCTCCACATTATATGTTAAATCCTGTAAAAACAATAAAAACGAATACACTTGGAACAATAAATATGTTAGGTAAGTATTTGTATATAAAATTGATATTTAAACAGAATAAACTTCTTACTGACAATATTTTTTCTATATATTACAATAATTCTACTAAGAAATTCTTTTAAAAATATAGTAATTCTAAAAACTAACATAACTCTAAGATGTCATTATATATACTTTGCAACTTGTTGAATTAATTTTACATTAACAGATTGCCATCTGATAAACTTTCTTTTCTTAGATGGTACTGTTTTGTAGTGTTCTCCAAATTAAATTTACAAACACACATGACATTAATTATTGATTAAACTATTTAATGTTTAAAAAGAAAACAGGATACACAAGTAAAAGTTCTACAAGGCACAGTATCTTGCTAAATTATTAGACCCATTGACTAAAATTATACTTTTTATACTATTTTCTTCTCCTTTTTTGTAACATTGTTTCAGGAATGAGTTTTTTTTTTTTTTTGTTATTCTTATTCTCTATTATAACACAAACACTTTTGATAAATTTTTTATGTGACAACATGTAAATGTAAGAAAAATCAACTTTCTGCTATAAAAAGAGAAATGATAGAGGTTCTCATTAAGATATGGCACTATAGCCCATTGATGAAAACAAGAATTTAAAACATGTATAAAGAGTATTCCTTGTCATATAGAAACACTGCTGGCTGTTAAGTGATCATGCAAAATACTAATTTTCATTTTGTTATTTAAAAATTTTTATATGTATAAACTTATTTTTTATTTCAAAAGACACAATAAACATAAGTATTTTAAATAATTCCAACAACAATTGCATTATTATTGATTGATAATTTCTTAATTTTTGATGTAATAAATCTTTTGCTTGGGTGTAATAATTTGGCAAGTTACCGTATACAGAAAATACTATATTTGTAGAATACTACATTAGCTATTTTATTTTATTACATTTTGTTATTAAAATGAAATATTTTTTTACTGAATAAAATATATTTTATAATAAGTCTTATTCAGAAAATTTATTTTGATTATTAGTTTCATATTTATTTATGAAAATAAATTCCTTTGTAATTTCTAACTTTACATTTTCCAAATTGTTAATATAAAATAAATAAAATTTGTTCTATTTATTATGATGGAGTGTATCATATTTGGTTAATACCAGTGCCTAGTGCTAAACTGGACCAAAGTCAGGAAAAACTGTCATTTTGTTTATATGCTGTTCATGTATGTATCAATATTTGTGTTCAAGAATTTCCTGACTATGTAACATGTTTAGTATGGTAGGTGTAATGTGCAGTTGTGAAATCCAAATGTTTCTAGACCTTAATGCAGTTTGTGGTGTTTGATACCTGTGAAAAAAAGAACTACAGACACAATAAGTACCTATACATTTTCCATAGATGCTTTATTTTCTGTGCAAGTTCTGAGTATTTACTAATTTTTTTTTTTTTTCAGTGTATATATTTTGTATGTTGTGGGTGTTTGGTTGTCTTTTTTTGGGTGATTTTGTTTAGTTTGTCAATGAATGTGATGAATTGTTCTTTCATATACTAAAATTATGGCATAATCTTAGTATATTTTGTGTATATTGTATTTATTATTACTGTATGAGGTGTATTTATAGTGCAATAGAGTTTGTATGCATGCTTTTGATATATTTCATTTGCTTTTTTGCTATGTCAATATAATTAGTCTGTTTCATATGAAAAGCTTGCAATGCAGTTTGTTGTGTTGTATGGTCTTATCACATTGTGGCATTTTCTAAGAGTCATCTGGAAGTATTGATTTTTTAAAATATGCTTTCTATAGTTTTTTTTGTATTTATAACCTGTTCTCATAAGACAATTATAAACCCTTCTATATTTCCAAAGAGACCTCTGTTGGTCTCTCTGGATCAAACTCCTGTCTATGTGATTATTTATTGAAATCATTAGGATGGTTATCATAATGCTCCTCCTGAATCCAGGAAAGCTTCATGGTGTCTGTATATTATCTTAGATAGAGGCCAGTGTTGTTTAGGTTTCAGATTTACAATATCTGTGAGGCCTTCTCTCCTTTCAAAGAAAAGAAAGGTTGACTTTTTACAAGGAAGAGTCAACCTTTCTACAGAAGACTTGGAATGAGTTTTACATTTCGTTAAATTTTCTGCTTTTTCTTTGCATAGCTTATTTTGTTTTTAATTCTATATTTTTATTTAATTTAATCTGTTTTATTTGTGTAACAAAATGAGTTGTCTTTACACACACAATTTAAAATATAGTTCAAAGTTAATATAAATCAAATATTTATGAAATAATAGTTTGTTATAAATAATATTTCATATACATTATAAATTTATAATTAAGTCTGCCATTAAATAACATAGAGATGTATTTTTAGTATTTAATATACTAGTGTCTTTATTACAGTTGACTACATTACTACAGTAGAGTGTCGTTTATCTGAAAGTTGATCAACCAAAACTTCGGTTAACCGAAAGTGTTCCAGTCGGACTGTGTTCTGCTGAATTGAACATTTTTGATACTAGATTAACTTCCAAAATATAATATAATTTTTTGTTTTTATATTTTTCAATATTTTTATTTTGTTTGTACAAAATAAAGAAATAATTTTTAACACTACAATAGCAATGATTATTATTTTAAAAAATTTATGTTAGGCTTAACATTGACGAAAATTCAACGCGAAGCGACAAAAACGGAGAAAATTTCAACATGGGATGGGTTAATATATTTTTTCGTACATAATCGGTTAACCGAAAAATAAGTTATCCAAACAACCCCAGTCCCCAATTGATTCAGATAAATGACACTCTTCTGTACTTGGAAATTCAACACTAGAAGCAATAATTTTACATTAAATAGTTAGAATTTGTATGTGTTTTTGATTAATGGAGAGACTTATAGTATCTTGACTTAAAAAAAAATCAATGAATTTAACTATTAAAATTTTAACTATTTTACAATAAGGATTGTGAAACTGATGGAACAGGTTTATTTTTATTACAAATGCAAATAGAACTTTCTTATAAGTAATGTTTCAGAATAAAAAATTTAAGTGCTTTCTATGGTTTAAATGAACAAACTTTAAACAAATTCATTTCTAAATGCCATTGTTTATCAGTATCCAAATGTTCAAAAAAAAGCTGGTAAATTAAGAATAGTTTCATTTGGTTTTTTGTGGCTTTGAACTGTTTTAAACAGACAATGAACTATGGTTATGCTGCTATTATTTATTTATTTACTCATATTTTATATAAACATAGTATCAAAGTTAAAATTTATTTTATTAGGTCTTGCAAAGAGAGTAGGAGCAAGAATATTAACTGCATCTACATCAGAAGTTTATGGTGATCCTGAAGTTCATCCACAGTCTGAAGATTATTGGGGTCGAGTTAATCCCATTGGTCCTCGTTCATGTTATGATGAAGGAAAAAGAGTAGCTGAGTCTCTATGTTATGCATATGCAAAACAAGTGAGCATAGTATAAATAGTAGTAGCATATTATAAATATTTTCAATATAAATGAAAATGATCATTTAAGTGATATTTTTTAAATACGTACTAAAATATAAATAGTGAAACAATTATTTGAAATATTTTCTCTAAAATTGAGCAATACATATACTTTTTTTTTCTTTTGCATAAGTTTATATCTTTCCTATCTTAATATATTGTGGGAATATGAATTTTTCAGTATTCTCAAACTATTGTGGCTACATTTTAACTATTTTTATTAATAAATTACAATTCAATTATCATCAAACACATGTTTCCTAATATCTTCTTCACAAATACAATTAATAAATTTTTATACTAAATTAGCCAAGAATAGTTGCAGTTACAAATGATGCTTAATTACTTTTTTAATGACCATAAATATGTTCTTCAGAATATGTAGAAAGCAATTATTTTTCAAAAAGAGCTGAATAATTTGTTTATACACTGGTAATAATTAAGTTGTAAATGATGAGTTGTAGCTCTTTGGTTATTCTTTGTTTTTGTCTTTGTCTAATGCCTTATCATATAATTTCCAAATTTAATATTTGTTGCTTGTAATCTGCCTGATTATTACAGTTGATGGTTTGTTGTGTATTAACTCTATATTTTTGATTTTCTTAACAACTGAATAAATGTGAATCAAGTATCTTTCCTTTTTTTTCTCCTATGCCTGTCTGGCAATATTGGAGATTAAATACAATATAAGAATTCAAATTTAGACTAAATCAGAAAATCAGATAGAGATTGGATTTTTGAGATGCTATATAAAAACTGTCACATTTCATCTTCAGTTCTTGAACAGATGTTTTATTCTGTTGAGTATTATAGATTAAAATAATAAAATAAACATTAAATGTTTCCTGGATTTTATGCATATTCTCAAAATAAGAAGTTAATTTAGAATTTTGAACTCANGAATTTTGATTTTTCTATTATGATGAAGCAAAATTTGTTTTACTTTAAAGTAATATTTAATAATGATTTTCTTAAAGTTAGGAGAAAATAAATCATTATCTTTATTAATTTTTAATTGAAAGTTTTGTGATCTTGAAAAATTTTAATAAATTAAGATTAACATGAATACATTATATTATATTCAAATTGCAGAAAGTTGATCTCGATAGCAAACTTGATTGTTGTTAACTACATAAAATTTAAAATAGCTTGAATGAAAAACATTTTAAATTTCCTATATTATAATAATAGTACAATAATACAATAATATATATTATCAGTGGGACATTCAAGATTTAATCTTTGGGGGGCCAAGTTGAATGGACAAAAAATTTTTAATGTGAATTCAATAAAATTCCTATCATATTTAACCGCTAATTTATATGTAGTATAGAAATAAGACACAACACAATATAAATAAAAAAGTGAATTTAATTATGAAAACAATTTTTGGAAAATTTTCTATTTTATTTTATTTTCCCTTTTTATTTGGAGGTATCAAAGGCTCCTTCGCCTCCTCTGGGTGCACCACTGTATGCTGTGTATTATGATATGTCTTTATAAAGTCTTTATAAACAAACATAGGAATTGTTCTGTAGAAATTGTTTATTCAAATGTATCAGTGTATACCATTCACCATACAAAATATTAAAATCTCAGCATGAAATTAATGTTATAAGTTTTAGTATTTGTTGGATTCTCCTGCTGATATCTTGACTGATCTCACCAAGTTTATTTCACCTTCAAAGTAATAATGATTTTAATCTGTTTATTTAATTGATGTTTATACTTCAGCTTTATGAACACAGATATTCTATGACTATAGTCTTTGAATTTATCAAACTTTTACATGTAAACTATATTTAAGGCTTTATCAGTTTAATTCAAAAGAATTCAATTTTATTCTTTTTATCTAATATTTCAAAACGTTTAAAATATAAACAAAATTATGTACAAAAAGTATTTTAAATTTTGCTAAAACAATATACTTACATAAATGTAAAAATAATGTTTTATTAATAGTGTTTGTAGAAATAAGAAATTTATTTAAAACGTAACCTAAATTCTAATGATTGCAACAATGGAATGTTGTAGGGATTGTGTGAAACTGAGTCAAGAAGAAAAAAAATTGTTGTTGTTTGGAGAAAATGAAATTTTAGCTTTCTGTTTGATGATTCAAATCTTCATTTATATTTAACTATCATGGTAGTAAGACATAGATTATTTATTACTTTTACACTTTCTTATTATAGAAAAACTTTAGAAAATAAAATATCTATTTAATATAATATTATTGTTTTTAAAGCAATTTTAAATAACCAAGCTTTTTGTCTGGAATTTATAAAAATTCTGATTTAATGACAGTCTAGAATTGGCAATGAATTTACTAATAAGTATACAAGATAAGTTTTTAATAATATATGTATTAATTTCTGTATATAGATCAATAGAACTAGTGTTATATTTCAAAATATTTTTTTTTACATGATTCAGATTTTAGTAAACTTTGTGTTTTTTTAATCTCATTTATCTTCAGTATGGTTATTACTTTTTTGAAAATCCATCTAATTTCAATGAGCTTCAAGCACTCTCGTATTTTTCATATTTGATCTTTTATGTCAAATTCTTTATTTATATTATTCCCATTTTTAAAGGCATTGTTTTTATTTTTTTTAATATTGTTTACCCATACAGTTAACATCTGTTTATATTATTGTCCTAAAATTTCTTATTTGTTCTGATGATAAAAAATGTTTGTTCCCAATTTTGTTTGTCTTATAGTTTAAGTACAAAACAATATTTTTTGTTGTAAATAGCAATAAATCATTAAGAGATACTGGCTGCTTGAACACAATATAAATTTTAATTTTTTAGCTCTTTTTTTTTGTTATTTAATTGGACTTATGGCACCATGATTTTTGAAGAACCTTTATTTAGTTTTTTCTTCCTTTTATTTTTTTTATTAGACTCAAAATCTCCAAGGTAAAGATAAACAATACAAATTCTTTTTGTTCAATTAGTTTTTTTTTTTGTTTTGTTAGTTATGGCAACTCAAAACTTGGGTGATCTGTCTGGGAGGATGCTTTCCAGGAGATCTTTTAGGGGTAACTTGCCCCTATTTAGAAAGCTGGAAAACACCACATGGCCAGCCAATCCTGGAGAGGCATGAACCCACGACCAAACTACCAATGTTTGGGGACTAGAACCACTTGGCTACAGGTGGACCCTTGTTTAGTCAGAAAATATAGAGTTCTCTTCTTGTACAAGGTCTTTCAGAATTTGCTATATGTTATTTTCTATTATTATTTCATCAAAACTTGGGGTTTGATTCATTTATTTATTTTTTATTCTAAATTTTCTCCAATTTTTCTGTTTCAATAATCACTTGATCCTTTTTGACGACTTACTGTATGTATATTGTCTTATATTGTCTAGCTGCTGTTTCTTCCTATGCTTGGACATTTAATAATTTTGCAACATAATAGTAAACAAGTAAAAAATTGCAAAATCGGTCTTTATTAAAATTTATATACTGGTTCAGTATCAGTTTTATATTTTTAATATAAAAATTTATTAATTTATCATATTTTATACTTTCAGTTCTCTGTACTTATCAACATCTTGTGGATTCTCAAGTTATAAGGGAGACCAAAAAGTTGGTATTTTGTTTTTGTGTTTATAAATTTTGAATAATAAATATTTATTTCTAAAAGTAAGAAAGAAATTAAGTGAATTATTTATTAATTGGCTTAAATATTTATTCAGACCAGAGAAAACTGTCATTACATTATCTAAAGAAGATAACAGTATTGAAAGAAAATTGAAGGAACTTGAAAGTCGTGTGAATAAACTTGAAGAAACTGCTGCTAAATCATATCCAAAAGTTAAAACAAGAACCTATAAAGACAGGAAAAGGATTTTGGTAAATTAAAAATATTTTCACAATATGTAATGTTAAGAGATTTAATTACTGATTTATGTAGGACACAATATTTACTAGTGTAATATTACAAATGCTGAAAAATCTGAGAAAATATTAATTGTTAGTACTTGATTGCTTGCTGTTCTCTCTTTTGGTTGTATGTTCCAAATGTACAAATTTTTGCTTAATTCCAAAGAACATATTAAATATTACTTTATTATTTGGATTCTTCTGCATTTTGTGTTCTTGTAAGATTTTTTTTTTACATTAATTTCAATAATAATAATTACTATTATTTTTTGATAAGGTGACTGGTGGAGCTGGTTTTGTTGGAAGTCATCTTGTTGATAAACTAATGTTTGATGGACATGAAGTTACAGTTGTAGATAATTTTTTCACTGGAAGCAAGAAAAATATTGAACATTGGATAGGGCATGATAATTTTGATGTCATAAGACATGATATTGTGAATCCTTTGTATATGGAAGGTTGATTTTATATTTAATATAACTAAAAGCAATTTTGCTTTTGTTAAAACTAAACTTTATATTAAATTTCTTTTAGTGGATCAAATATATCATCTTGCATCTCCAGCTTCACCTCCACATTATATGTTAAATCCTGTAAAAACAATAAAAACGAATACACTTGGAACAATAAATATGTTAGGTAAGTATTTGTATATAAAATTGATATTTAAACAGAATAAACTTCTTACTGACAATATTTTTTCTATATATTACAATAATTCTACTAAGAAATTCTTTTAAAAATATAATAATTCTAAAAACTAACATAACTCTAAGATGTCATTATATATACTTTGCAACTTGTTGAATTAATTTTCCATTAACAGATTGCCATCTGATAAACTTTCTTTTCTTAGATGGTACTGTTTTATAGTGTTCTCCAAATTAAATTTACAAACACACATGACATTAATTATTGATTAAACTATTTAATGTTTAAAAAGAAAACAGGATACACAAGTAAAAGTTCTACAAGGCACAGTATCTTGCTAAATTATTAGACCCATTGACTAAAATTATACTTTTTATACTATTTTCTTCTCCTTTTTTGTAACATTGTTTCAGGAA